TGTATTTTATCCTACCTCGTCCGTTTTTAAAGAGCATTAGGAGATACACAGATATAATAGATATTAATATATTGAAGATTAACATTGTACTTTTATAGTGACAGTGGATTACAAGAAAGACTCGAACGCCGACACGGGGTTATTTGTAAAGGTTGTACCGGAAAAATGGAAACCAGCTTCGGCGGTCGTGGTGGACAGCTGCAATCAATCAAATTCGTCAACGGCCGTCGTACCGTTTACGTTTGACTACCACCGCCGGTGGATGGACAGTGTTAATAAAAAGTTGGTGGCACTACGGCTAAACAGGTAATCAAAGTTCTAATGAAAATAAGTTGTAATGCCACGACCGTCGATGCAATTTTTCGTCAAACCTCATTTGCCACTCTCGGAAAATCCAACAGAATAATCTATATATATATATATATAAATTATTACAGTCGATATGAAAACGAATAAAAAATTAAAAGGAGTGGAAACGTAAATATTTTAAGCACATTAAATAGGTATTAATAATTGTGGTATTGCTATATTATGATTATATACAGTCATTTCAATACATCAATATGATATCCTAGATACTCGGCATTGTCTATTTGTTTTCGTATACGTTTCGGAAATTGGAATACGTTTTCACACCATTCATAATACTATTTACAACAATAATAAAACAAATTTAAGTTTTCATGAAAATTATTCACGCTCTGGATTCCTTCATGCAATAATTCACAATGCTCATTTGCAGCAGAGGTTTGGGGCAACACGGTTATAGTTAGGTTAAATAGTAGTAGACACTTATGTACACGGTGATTCCTTGACAAAAAACATTTTCAATAACGTCAATATTTTATTTTATTTTTTTTTAATGCTTAAAGGATTCTGTGATAAATGAATCACCCATTTTATGTAATATAATATATTATAATATGCAGCTATTATACAATAATATTAAAAATATACCTATAATCATAATTTAGATAAAATATTAACCACTGACTAGTTACTGGTATATTACATTCGCGGTTTCAAAAATATCTCGTAAAAACCACAAACCCGTTCGCAAACTCTCGTAACGGATGTCACATCACAATTGACTATTACTTAAAAACCGAAAATTAATAAACCGAAATAGCGAAGAAATAAAACATTGACAAACCAAATTGATGTCGCGGTACTTATACATCAATACAATATAAAGAACATTATTTTGTGAGTAGGTAACTGGTCCGCGGTCATAATTTTAGACGCACGTTGATCGATAATATAAAATGGTATATAAATATAATAAAAGCAAAATGTCTCTAAATACACTATGAATTAGAAGTGTATTGATGAGTGATGACATTGTGACAATATTTTATATTAAATTGGTACACAATATTATACACTAGTTGGTACGATGTCACTTCGACATATTATTATACCTACACTCGTATCGATGTGATTAAGCAACAATGTTAGCGCAAAATGGGTTTCGGCCAGATCCTCGATTTATCACAGATGCAGTTGACAATTGTTGACCTACAATCATGAGACATAAAAGCTAAAGAAAATATTAAGAAAAAAAAATCTATTATAAGTTACGGCTGTAAGTAAATAGAAAATATATAGGTATTACACGAATACCTCTGTGTATCGTTTTGTTGCTAAAAACTATAATGATAATAATTAAGTACCCAACGACTAACATACTAACATAAATAGCGAAAAATATATTTAAACATAACGCTAGTAAACATTCATAACTTTATAAGAGTCATTAAAGTAATAAAATCGATTAAATTACATTAGGTTCGTTCGATCGTTACGTATAATTTATAAATATTCAATAGTAGTAATTCTTTTTTATTTAAATATCGAAATAATTCTTTTGTTGACAATCATAAAATTTCTTTTGTACATTAGTGAATAACAGCAACATCGAGTAACTTTTAATTTGTCTACTTTAAGATATTTAATTCTAGAACATCTTTTTTAACGTCTCTAGTCTTTAGCTTAAATTTATCGCGGTTTATAGGAATTCTAATATGGTTTTGATATTGTCTCCTCTGCAATATATATTACAGTCGTCAGTGAATAATGCGTATTTAATCGGATTTTGTAAGTTATTGAATATGTTAAAAATAGCAATGAGGAGCAATTTGAAGCTTATTATTGATGTGCCCTGGGGAAAATCATTTTAATGCCAAGATTTTCAGATAATATCTTCCCTAATTTTACCCAGAATTGGCGATCGAAAAAAGTTGTGAAAAAAAATTAACATGTTTCCTGTTATATTCTATTTTTGTATTAAGAGTATAATATTCTTTTTCCTTACCTTATCATAGCGGATTTTCTATGTCAAGAGCTATTATAGGATTAAATGTTGTTTTCTTATGAATGCTTCAGTAATATACGAGTATGCGTGAAGAGTTGCTAGTATGTCTAGGTTTAAGTAATTTTGACGAAAGCCGCATTGTTGTTTGATGACTTTTTTGTTCGTCTCTAAGTATCATACAAAATGTTTGTTAATCATCATTCAAATAGCTTACTATGGGTGCTGATAGGTCAAATTGATCGGTAGTTAAGGATATTACATTTATCTTTTTCTGGTATTGAGATTGGTACCACGAGTGCTTGTCCCATTGATTGGAAAAGAATCTCTTGTTCCGAATTATATTTCAGATTGCAAGGAGAGAGTTCATGGCTTCTTTGGGAAGATTCTTCATAAAACTGAAAGGTATGTCGTCGGGGACAGGGCTTTTATTTGTATTGGTGGTAGCCGGTAGGGGAATCGTGAGACAATGTATAGTATGCTGTTCAATAAAAGTTTTGTTCAAAGGCGTATCATGTGATATGTTGTTATGTAGTGACGATTATTTTGTTTGTAGTTAAATTAACGCGATAAAAACTATACAGAATACGTCGGCTTAGTCGACTGCCAAACGTGTACTGAATTTTAGTTATCATGTTGTAAATCATATAAATATTCATATGTTTCATAGATATTTGAAATTTGTTACTTTATTATAAATTTTTATTTTACATAACAATGATTTTCAAAATATTTAAACTTTTAAATTGTGTTTTATTTATTATACTATGAACCAATGATAATCTATTTATACAGTTCTATGATACATCGCCGTACACAGTAGATAATGACTAATATTATAATAATTCATTATATGATACATTTGAATGCGCTGTTTTTGGAAAATAAAGATCAATGTACTGCAGAACTGCTAAAAAAAATAATTTATATTAGTACCTATATATTATAAATTATCTTTATAGAATTAGAGGCTGTGTGCGCCGTGTAGCTCCTACTTTTTTTATATCGCGGTTAGCGACAACGACTCGCGTAATGCTGTGGACAGGAGGAGGGTCACTAGCAGTACTATATTATGTACTATACAAATATAAACAAAATGTTTATAATAATATGGCGCTGTGCGCCAGACATATATATTACGTCTATATTTTACACAAATAACAAAAGAATATATCACAATAATAATAAATGCATCAGGTCAGTTAATAATAATAATAATATAAGACCTGATCGGCATTCAGGAAGACATCAAGTTCTTCAGCTGGTAAGTCTTCGATGACAATACAGAAAAGAGGCACGGCGTCAATAACACGCGTCAAGTCTAAAATATCTTGGGACTTACGACAGCGTGCATATAAAACGATATACACCAAAGAAAAAAAACGGTGGTACAGTTGACCACGAGGTCAGCCCGGATAAATAAAAATACAAAAGGGTGAACGGGCGATTCACGTGAACCGCCAAATTCGATCATTGGCAAAATACAAACACACGTATGTAAGCTAACAAAGTTTGTCGGCCGACACGAACGTCAACGGCCTGGTCTCGCCGGATATTAGAGTGGAGAGCTTACTAGGACTTAATTTATCAATCCGCCACACTTGTAGATTCTCAGCAAAGCTTATTAGGCGGCAATTGAACCGCGTTCGAACAGGCTGCATATCTGCAGCTACATTGAAAATTGTTTTTAGTATACAGTAATTTACCCTACATTCATGTTTATCATTTAATTCAAATTTAAGATACCCGTTACAGCGATAAACTCAAAACGAGGTTCACTCAAAAGTCACTATACAACTGAGTACTTTCTCTATAAATTTAAAATGTGATTCTAACTTTCCTTAATTAAAAGTAAATATATAATCCCTGCAATCTTTAAAAATACGAACTTAAATCTTAAAACCTGACATTGCAAAAATTTTGGGCTGATACTTTATGAATGTTATACCAAAACGACAATCATATATTTCCTATAATAATTTATCAGTTGACAGTAGTAATATATTTTTAACTTTGCTCTGTACGAATACGGCTGCGTGACTTTAACGTTCCTATGAAAATTAGACATACCAAATCGTTTTTCTACTAGTTTTATATTATGTATAAAATAGCAATGGCCAGTCTATACCTATTACTAATTATGTTCTAGATCTCTGCAATAATGTAATATAATATGTTATATATACAATTAATATAAGTAATAAGTAATAAGTAATAAGTAATAACTTATAATTTAATAATATAACATACATATACCTACAGGCTACAACTAAAAAATAAGAAGTATACAAAATATACGAATACCATTTTATTTGAACAATAATAATAATTATATACTATAAGACTATACAATTTTATCCTGATATGTGTAAAAATAATAGAATCGCATAACTATGAATGAGTATATAATCGCTAATCGGTCTGAAAAAAATAAAATTACAAAACTGTATCACAAGGGTATTTATGGTGCGTTACGAATAAAAAAATACCTAAGAGGATACCGTTTAAAAATTCTGAGGAAGAGGAAAAAATAAAAAAAAAAATAGGAAAGATATATAACGGAAATGAAATAATAGCTTTAGGACTATACAGAGAAGTGGGGGACGTGGTCAATGTCAATGGCTCCACAGCCGTCGCCGGTAATAGCCACTAAGGAAATTCTCCGTTGTCGTTTACACCGCGGCGCCGATTGACGATCAGTCACGAACGTCCATCATTACATAGCTCATTTTAATTCAATCGTGTTTTCAACCGTACGAAAATAGCTCCCACAGTGCACAGATAAAATCTAAATTGTTATAGAAATCCTATGCATCAACGCTGCTCGTTAGACGTTAAGATTCGTTCGAAGTCGAAGTCAGAAATTTAGCAAATACAGTAAGTTGTACGTATAATATATATCAACTGCGTATAAAGTTCATAGATAAACTTTATCAAAGGTCTTTGGGAAATTTGTAGTCTATAACTTATTGCATGGAAACTAAAAATAAAGTATAAAACCACACTTAAACGAGTTAAGTATTTTTATCAAGTATGAATATAAAACTGTAATAACACAATATTGTTAAGTGGAATAAAATTTAAAGGGGTAGTTACCCCACAAAAGAAATATTTATTCAACTAATCCATTCTGAATTTAAATTTGTAATTTCTTATTAATAAAGAAAAAACTATGTCAACTATATTAAATTATTCCGGATAAATTGGATGATTCACTAATCCTTGATTTGTTCATTTATCATGCATTTATTTTAATTCTAATTTTTGAAATTTTCAAGTACCTACACCTATACTTAATGAGTAAGTAGGTCGGTATTAAATACTTAAAATTACGCATATTTTACATTTATAGAAATCAATAATTAATAACTACTTATTATCTTTATATTAAATAGTTCGCAGAGAAAGAACTCGTTTAAAATTTGATTTAAATGCATCAAAATGTCCAAAAAATGTTGTGTTTCACAATTTACAGGAAAAATAAGTTTGTTATGCTATAGTAACTTCTTAAATTAGATATCAAATCTAAATATTTGAGAATACATTCTATAATCTTTAAAGAAAAAAGTTCCCAAAATCAAAATTATAATAAGTGCAATATTTAAGGATAAAAATGGGTAAGCCATAAACACATTTTGTAATCACTTTGTATTTTATACGCAAACATTTTAAAAAAAGAACACAACAAACAATTATTAAGAAATGAATATAAAATGAAATAAATGTCTCAATACATTATATTCCCTTATTTGGATAGGTGCTCAAATATACACAAATAATTATTTTAATGCTTGCATGGTAAAATAGTTATTAAAAATTGATGATTAAATTAAGTACATAAATGAACATTGTACTGATGAAAAACTGTATAGATTTCACTGAATAAATAATAATATGTAATTAATAGTGATTACTATAAAGTTCTAACAAATATACATGTACTCCTTAGTTGAAATATAATTTATTAGAATTATGTCTATTATCTTGAAGTTTGATTATAAACAGTTTAGGTGACTTTAATTAGCTCTGCAGACTAGAACATAAACCATCAACGATACCGTATTGGAAAAATGTAATTTTCACGCTCATTGAAACAAATAAATAATTATTATCGCTAACACGACGGAAGTACGTCCGGTGGCGTCGCGTCTTCAGCATTATCGTTACTGCAACATATACATAGTCAGATGCACTGTGCGTGTATTCCGGAAGGGGTAACACCACTAACACCCAAAGGAGAAGACTCACATTACTGTTTCTCTTATAGTAGCAGCGAGCACATGGTTCAGTGACAATATGTCCAGGAAAATGGGAGCTTCGACTCCTTCATATTACCCATCCGAGGCCGATTTCGTAGTCAAGACGCCTCAGAAGCCAGTTGATGCCTGTAAACCTCGCCACCATTCCGATCAAGTAAGAATCTACAATTTATTAGATAATTAATTTTTATTTATACAAAAATTATAACGCAGTATAATGCTTATTTAAAATCGTATATCTAATTGTATAATCAAATAGTTTCTTATTTTCAAAAAAAATATACATATAAAGCGATCAATTAGCTGTACCTCCCATTGTTTAAAAACGAGTTTAGGTTAAGCCGTCGATAACTAAGAAACAATTCAACTATAGTTATTTTAATCCATCCAATTTATATTATAGGTCAAAGTCAGATACAATGTGGATGACATTTTAAAATAAAACTAAATCATAATTATTAAATAATTTTAACAAAGTTTATTAAAAATACATTTTTCTTTCTTAGTTTACAATAATTAATAAGCAATTAAGCAAAATAATTCCTATATTTACATCAAATTTTAATTATTATTTATTACACAATTACCGCGATAAGAATGTTTTAAAAACATGTATTAATTATTATTATTAAAATATTTAAGCATTTAAATTTTTTTTCTTATGTATTTAAGAATATGTAGATAGTTGCTTAATACATTAATTCTGTTTAAGAACTTAAGAATATAAAAGATAGAGTTGTTTTTTATTCTGATATAAAAAAAATACTATCTCACATATAATTGAATTAATTTAAAACAAAATAATAAAGTGTATAACTTAATTTAAAACACCTTACCAAATGTTCAATGTATTATGTACATTGTACCTACTACCAATCTATAATTGTTTTATATAGTGTTCAAATCAAAAATAATTAGATTAGAAATTAAATATACTAGATACTCGGTTATACTTACTATAAATAAAAAAACAAAAAGTACAGGAATATAATCAACATTTTATTAACCAATGTTATATTTTATCATGGATATGTTTTTTTTTTTTTTTTTAATAAAATATACCGTCAAATAATAAATTACGTTTTTGGTTTATAAATATAAGTTTTTTCAATACATGTCAATATATACATTCATACATACCTACAATTAATTATAACTTTATAAATATATTCGTTTTTCAATTTTGTTTAAACTTGGTTTTTATATTGACTCACTCATCATATACTTACCTAATAATAGTATACATTTAAATATTGAATTACTTAAATTATAATTGTTTATTTACTAGAAAAATAATCATTGATTTTAGATACAATACATTAGCCTGATTGGACTGATGCAAGTAGTTACTGGATGTCTGATGGTCGTTTTTGGAGTGATGTCGATGTTACACGAGGCGTCCTTGTCCAGTGTGGGCGCCGGCCTTTGGAGCGGTGCAATGGCCATGGGCAACGGAGTAGTTGGACTGATGGCTAGCTTAAACGGATGTCTTTCGCCAGACAGGACACTGTCTCCACTCTCCGTTACAATTTATCTTGCTCTGTGTTTAGTGTCTGTGGGTGTTAGTAATCTGGCCATCATACTTACAGCTATTGGACTCCTGAAGGACTCACAGAAACCATACTACATCATTCCAAAAGACAAGGTTAGGTTCAAACTAAAATTATATAAAGATGTGTACAAATACTACAAATATTCATGGTTTGTCAATCCGATCAAAACATTGTTTTACATAGTTAAATACGATGTTATTTGGACCGTAACGTTTGGAAATAACAATACTTAAAGTTAATAGTGATTATACTATATTATTAAATAGATTAAAAAAATTGGTTTTTTAAGAATCCGTAGATTAATTTTTAGTAATAAAAAAGTTTGAGGACGGTTGGTAAGAATTATATACGTTTGTTGCAGACGCATTATAAAACTTTGACAGCTGATCAATTACAGACAAATTGGGCTCCCGTGTTGGCGAATTTAGGTTTACTGCTAGCCACGTCTGTACAATGTCTAACCACAATGTTAGCCGCATTCCGTTTTTACCGACTCGTTAAATTGATTGTGGCCGGCGAACAACAAACTTCATGGTCAAATTCAAGATATAGGAGTTCGTCGTGTTGCAGTTCAAGCGTTGGAAGCAAACAGAAACTTGTACAAAAATGGTTAGTGCAACAAACACCATCTCAACTAGACCTACCTCGTCAACATACAAACTATTCTGGAAAAGTTTACGGTAATAAAATGGTAAGTAACTTTTTCAAAATTAATTTTTAACAACTTAAAATTATAATCAACTTAAATTTAAAAAAAATAGAAATCAATTATTTTAAATAAGGTTGTCAAATAATATTATTTATTATATTTAATTTTCTACACATCAATATAATCATTAACCACTAAATACATATGGTACAGTTACCTATAGATTAATTTTTTTTTTACACATGTTATAGTTAGTTACATTAGAAATATAAACATACCTGTATCAGCTGTGACTAGTGGATAAACATATTAGTTATTACCTTCAATGCCAGAATAATACCTAACCGTTAGTAACAACAATAATAATTCTCGTGTCACGATGACAAACCTAAATAAATGTTTTCAAATCAAAGTGTGTACATATTTTATTATATTTTCAACAAACAATAATAATAATTTTGTAGTTATCGTGTTTAAAAAGAAATTGGATAAAAAAAGATTGGAAATGAGCTTGCAATTATAGGACAAACCCGACACACGAAAAACAAAGTTCTTTAAAAAATTTAAGATAGTATTTGATATGTTTTTGTTAGTATAATATAATATTTTATTATTTATTTTAACTATAATTATTATGATACGTACTACCAAAATATAATACTTTAAGTATTAATATTTTCCAAAATGAAAAGTTTATTTTATTCTATGATAGCAAAACATGTAAAAATGTACTCGATATTATATAGTTGAAAACTCAAAAAATATTTCTCTGTCGTGTTCATTGATCCAAATAATATTTCAAAAATAAGTGACTGTAATTAATTTTAATCCAACTAGAGTACCTAAACTCCAATATAGACTGTGTCCATTTATCACAGCAGTTTATGACAGTTATAAACGTTTAAGACGCACTTTCCCAAATTATAGAAAATAACAATTAACAATACATTTACAACTATTTAACACATACACAGATACACTATGATACAGTATGGCAACATTTCTTTAAGATTAAATATTCGTGGTAGGAAACATAAGATATTTCAATAACTTTTTTTATGCCGACAAACGGTATACTGAGTGTTTCTTTTACGATAAACACTCATTATTTCAAAATCTATTGACAAAATTCAAACGAGTTGTAGCTATAATAGTAATTAAAATTTAGGCAAGCGAAGTAGCAGACCAAAATTTTGCGGATTATCTCAGCAGTAACTCTCCACTCCGCTCATCACAACTTAGGTATAATAATTCATAAATTACTCGTCACCCGTCAGAATTTCGATTTTTTAATATCGAAATACTCCGAAAAACATTCTGTTTCAAAATATTAAATTAAATAAGTTTTCATTCATAAAAGTAAAAACTTGAAAAATAATTTTTTTTTAAAAAAATTGTCGTTTTATTTAGACTATAAATTTTGTTGAAAAAAAAAATATTTTCAAAAACGTTAAAAGATTTTGAAATAAAAGAACCATCTTGTATATAATATTTATAAGCTATAATAATATATAACAAACGTGGAACCCATATTTAAACAGTTTTTTGTCATTGCCGAACAACGGTGAAAAACATAATAGTGTAATCGTATAGATCAGCGGTTCTCAAACTGTGGTACGCGTACCACTAGTGGTACGCGAAAGACTACATGATGGTACGCGGAACTGCGGAAGGCCGCATGGTAGTAGGATTTTTAATCTTCAGTGGTACGCGACTGATTGATAATATACTTAAGTGGTACGCGAAATAAAAAGTTTGAGAACCGCTGGTATAGATAATTCTTTAGATAAATAAATATTAATGATGAAAATAGTTATTTATTTACTATTATTATTTTTTTTTATACAACATTTTTTTGCATTACGCTTTTATTCCGTGGTTTTTTTTTACATACTTTTATTCTTATAAAAACCATCAGCAACTATATGGCTGTGGTTCCGTTGCGGGCTCATCTATATAATTGGATCTTTTTTTCCTTCAAAGTATCCCTACACACTAACACATACATCACACTATATTATAGATAGTACTATTATTCTGCGGCGGCAACAGCAGCAGAATAACAACATTAACAGCGTGCGTATATACACAATATAAATAACTACGATAATAAATATATTATGTATATAAGCTGGTATGGAACGAAATAAAGATGGAGGAATTAGTTCCAGCCCAGTTAGTGGCTTGGATGGAAATATCTCTTTCTTTTCATTCTCCTTAACACACACAGGCATTATTCTCTCCTACGCGTCCGTCTATGTATGGTCAGCGTTAGCCGTAGCCCGTAGGTACCCCACAAATTAATATAAAGAAAAAAAACACAGTTGTCGCGTCAGTACAATACTGCAACACTATACTTGTATGCAATGTAGGCCGGTAAAAATTTTATTAAGGAGAAATGAACACTTGGAGTGACATATCAAATAAGAGAAAAATTATTTTATATGGTATTTACCTCTGACGACGGTAGCACAATGGTCACAAGTATTACCAAATCTTATGGGGCAGGAGGGATTACTTGCCCACAAAACGGTATGTGCTCAAGGATACCTCGACATTTAAGCATAAAATAAATCGAATTAAAAAAAAAAAAAAATTATGAATAAAGGACGCCGATTTATTTTTTACCAGCCCCCATTCCCTGACGCCGAATGTCTTAGCCCTTAGGTCCTGTACCACTCGCAAGTGGACAATGAAAACCATGAGTTCAGATCGATCTAGAGACCGCGAGTAGTCGACGTTGACACCACTCTTGAGACCTGTTCATCGTCTGTCGTCGAATCAGATAGGATCCGAAGCATAGATCATCATAGATAATATGTCCTTGACGTGCGTATGTTAAAACGAACGTTGAAGTCATTGTAGACCACAATAAATACCCGACAAATATATCATATTATATTGTCTATAACGTTTATAGACTATGGCTTATAGTGTAAGCACTAAGAACATAAACGTATGTGCGTGCATGTATATTGTACATATCGTGTAGACGTGTACGAAGCGAACAATGTGTAATGACAGTATGAAATAATAATTGCCGTTCGGGAAAAAACTGTCACACATGTATGTCGTCGTAGTTATATTCTGACGTGTGTTGTGCAGTATAAATATACGCGGCGTTTTGGTCGCGCAATTTGAAACCGTTAGGTAGGTATTCAAGTTTACGATCGCACGGTTGTTAATTTTGTTATTATTATTTCGTATAAAATATTTAGGCGTATAATATATTGTATTTATCATTGTTTGTTTATTTCTTATATGGTTCAAAATGAAATTGTGTTATCCAATGGTAACAGATTATATAAATATTAAACTTTATACGACTATACAAATTCGTAGTCTAATCATACGTATATATTACTACGGTAAACATATATATATAAAATATATTATATAGATGAACGACACTTAAAACTTGTTATATCCGATATCATACACTTAGGAATATTACTTATTAGGTTTTTTTTTCAATTCCTAATAAATGTAATTTCATTTAAAACGAACATAGATTTTTTTTTAATCATAACATACATCATTGAAATTATTAATAGTGATTAATTTTAAAACACTAAAAAATTTAAAAAAAAAACTTATTAAATTTTTTAATTATCTTTATCTACCTACTCTTTGTTATCCCCTTTGTTAATAGTTTTTGTAATTTCTAAAGAAATAAAAATTTAGCTCTGTTATGAGTGTTATGACTTATATTATATTTCAGTCATAAATAAATAACTCATTTAGTGATATTAAATATTTCTTACACTTAATGAATTTTACTGCATGCAAAATTAGACATTTTCTCAAACTCAAAATTGTGCCTAGCTACAAGCTACCTAATGTAAACAGATGAACTTTGTATAAATAAGGCCAATTAAATTTTTAGTTAACAATATTTATAACGTAATTCTTCAAACGTTTTTTGCATAATTTCAAATTTGATCAAAATTTAAAATTTTTGATTCAGATCTGTTATCCGGTACACTATTATTATTTAAAAAATAAATATTCTTCCTCCCATGTAAAAGTATCTACTTGTTTTCAAAATAATACCATAGCTAAGTGTTTTACATGTAAATCAGTAATAAATATCTCACCAAATTCTTATTATTAAAATGACTAACATTATTTAGTGTAACTTAAAAAACATTTAATGTAAATCTATTAATATAATAATATTGTAACAACTAAAAAATTACAATTATCATACACACACTCCTAACAAAGCAACAAACAAAAAAACAGTAGGTATAACATAAAACCTAATATGATTTGTATGTATCTTGTACGTTTGAATAATAGACAGTAGCTATACATAATTTATCAATATAAAATATCTAGGTGTCACTAATTCAAAAATAGAAAATCATTTACAAAAAAAAAGTAGTGCTTGCCATTTCCCACATTATATTTGTATGTAAATAAATAAGAAAAATACATCTAGGTAGGTACCTATTTAAAAAAAATACATGTTATACATATATTATATTTGTATAGTAAAAATATTTATTTTTTTTTTTTAAATAAAATTATGTAATATTGATGACGTACATTCACAAATTTAAATTATTGTGAAATAATTGGTTCAAATAAATTAATACTTACTAATACTTACTTATTAATATTTTATTTTAAAAAACTCTTTTTTAAATGTAACTTTTATTAAAATTTATATGAAAAACAGTAACATCGATGAGAAATAATTTATGTATAATTAACTTGTGAATAATTTTAAAAACCTAATAGAAAAACAAGTTTTAGTAAAAAAAATGTATAACAAATAAGCACATCATAAGAATTGAGTCGTGATGTAAGAGTAAAAAATAATTAAAATAGGTAGATAAAATACATACCTAAGCTGAATTCGTAAAAGGAATTATGTAAATGTGTTATACATATAAAACTTTTATTTTTAAAATTATTTTTTGAAAAGGTATTTAATTATTATATACTCTTAAACTCTTATTAGACTTAGATTATATATGAGATTCTTTAGGACATGAATTTAACTAAGTAAGTTACAGTTATAAAATTATCAACATAAATTAACATAATTAGTATTTTTTTTTTTTTTAATTTAAGTACAAAGACAACAGTAAAACATAATATTTAGCATAACAGCTAGTATAATTATTACTTATACCCAAGATTTTAAAATATTGTATTTTAGATTCTGAATGAAACAATATTGGTTTTGAAATTCTTTTTTTTCTGTCCTAAGAAAATTGTTTTATCAAAAAATTGAAAGTGATTTCTGGTAGAAAATTAGGTGTATTTTTTTATTTTGAAATTTGAGGTCATTTTATTTATTTTTTTTTTTGGTTAACCAAAACAAAATTACAGAAAAACTGTAACATTTAACTTAAATCAATTTTATGTTTTTCTTATAAATCAAAAATGAATAACCGTAAAAAAACAATTTTCAAGAAATAATATTTTTATTAATATAAAATATAGGTATATTTGATATTTCTGACAAAAATTAGTTTAACCTACCATATCACTAATAGTAATATAAAAATTCGGCGTGTCCATCTTCACTCAGAATTATTTTTTGCATACAATAATTTTATCATTGAATTTTAGTTTAACACATTACACATCTATTTTGGTATCCAATTTCAATTACTACGAGGAAAGTACTCACAAAAAATCAAAATTTACTTAAGGTAAACTGCAGAGCGACCTCGGTTTTATTTAATATAAAATACTAAGTAAATTGGTATTCTAATACATTTTAAATACTTAACAAAAATGATTATCTGCTGACCGCTATAAATTACGTTACTTTTCCCGTTTTAATGCCTTAAATGTTACATCATCACGCTTTGGCGCTTGACTTTATTATATACTAAATAATAAATTGAGTTCACAGTTAAATTACCTATTCTACGTTGTAGAATTTGCTCTTGTATAATATTATAATAAACACAATACAATTGTCTTGTTCAAAGGGTGTTCACGACGAAACGAGAACCTTACCCAAGTGGAAAAGTCACCGAACGGCGCCAAAGCTGAAACCGTCAAGACCAGACAGAAGGGAAAGGAGACCGTCAAACGACGCCGCGGACGTGCACAGGGCATACACGGGTATGGACAGAGAGATTGTTGAAGAATTCATTTCTGTCACTATGGACCCAAAACATTACAGCTGATATTGTGTATTTTATATGTATTAATAGTATAAGCGGGTTGAACATTTTATTAGGTATACAATTAAAAAGGCGTATCATCTTTTTGAAACGCATTTGCCTACTATATTTCCGATGGAAATGTTTATTCAAACAAGAAAACCTCTTAAGTGTTCATTTAAAAAACGTATTTTTAAAATACTATACGAAAGTACATCTATAGCAAATGTATGAATTGTACATGTGTACCTCTACGTCTATATATAATAACACATATTATATACAGAATATTAACACTGTACACTTTGTGTGAGATATTATAATACCGTTTAAATTAGATTTGAATTAAAAAATTAAACAATATTTTAATTCTGTAATGTTAGCTTATAATTTTTGTATTACACAAGTAATAACAGTGATATTACAAATATTGCCAAATCAATTACCAATATGACAATATAACCTACATGCATCATTTACAGATTGGTACACATAATATTAGTTCAGCTTTAAAGAATACAATTTAGCATCTAATTATAAACTTGTCACGAAATATAAATGTGATTGTTAATTATTATCTATTATAATAATATAAAACATATTATGCACAAATAATTAATTTTTGAACAAATTTAACAAATTATTTAATATATTCACACTGTTAAGATTATTGCAATACCTAATCTTATAAAATGAATTATAATAATTTAATATTTAGTAAGAGATAACACCAAATAATAAAAAATAAAAATAGAATTTGGGATCAGGATTACCTAATTCTAGCTACTAGAAATTTTTAAAATAAATATTTATTTAATTTATATTTGAAAACATCAATAAAAAGTAAAAATGTAGGTGTATAATTTTTCAGTGGATGACATAAGCGCTAAAATGAAACAAGAACAAAATAAGTCGTATAGTACAAAAGCACCAAAATTATATCATACAAATGTGCCAAAATCCTAGGTAGCTTAGGTAGGCTATTTAAATTTAGAACTAAGTATATAATTCAAAAACTCCAATGTTTAATCTTAATCAACAAATTTATTCTCTGATTACGATAGATTTTGGCATAGACAGTGTGTGAGCAGTTTTATGTTACACAACTAATTGTTACTATCTATATCGTAAGCATTCGTGTAAGCGTCATTCCTTAAAATGAATTTTACAAAAACTGTAACTAATAAAGATGTTGCGTGCATTTTATTTTAAGATCAAAAATATAGATTTTTACGAGAAATGGCCAGCAGTAATGTGTCATTGAGGTGTACCAAAATAAAAATAATAATTGTACAATGAAAGAAATACCAAGATAGTGAAATAAATCGAATGGAATATGTAAAAAAAAAAAAAAATGGATTAAAAAAAATCAACCAATCAATTAAAATTCTATTTATTTGTATGTATATTATTGAAAATTTTTTATAAAATCAAAACATCAAACCATACCTTTAGTGCTCATGTCATACGTTGAGTATAACAGGTAGGTATATTATAATATTAGATTGGCGAATACGTAATACAGCCTAATTTTTTTATTCTTACTTACACCAAATTATATATAGTTCAATTTTTCACTCAAAAGCCAATGACTTAATTGTATTCTAATTCTAAATGTACAAATTTAATTACGTGGGACAAAATCGAATGTATCCTCAGTGAAATCTAGTATTTTGTAATGAAAGAAATGTAACACAAAATATTTTCTCTACTACACAGAAAAACATTAAATCATATATTTGATTTTAATATTATAATTTAAAAAAACGTTTCAACGAGGTGACCGTTATTAAATTCAATGTAAGTAGCTGGGAGTATCATCACGAAAATTCCGGTTAAAAAACTGCAATAATAATAAAAACAGCACAAATAATTTAAATTTAATAAAATTGATCACATACAAAATTGGTTAAGAAATATGTATACAGCCCAAAAATATTTTAATGAATTACATAATATTATTTTAAAAGTAAAAAATTAATTTTAGCTGACATCTGAAGCTATATTGGAAATATAGTTTTTTCATCTATAGCATGACGCCATGACGTGTTAACAAAAACAGAAATTAATGCCATAATTATCATACATTCTTGCCGAAAATAAATAATCGACATACTAAATAAAACTAAAAGTTGGAAACTGCATTGTCTAATTCGATAAATCCAAAAATTATCAACTATAATTAGATTATTTATTTATGTTAATTAACAAGCAATACTATAAAAATGAGTTACTTAATCAAAATTAATAAATAACACAATAGATACCATGTACTACCTTTTTGAACTTAAGTATATACTTTGAACTTTTTAGTTTAGGTAAGAGTATAGTTTGATAATTGATAGTACACATTTAAAAAAAAACTTATTCTATGAATAGTAAAAACAATAAACGTTAAGCAATATATTTTAAATGAAAATAATATTATACATAACAGGAACATTTGTAATCTGAATATCTCAATGTAATCTGAATAATAGTCTCAAATTAAACAACCAAAATCTAATGAATTTGCTATTATTTGAAAATAATTTTTGAAACACCATTATAGCAAAAAAAGTGGTTTACATGTATCTTCTCAGCATTACTGCGATCAAATTCTATATACAAAATTTCAATTGTATGATTCATATAATACTATATGTACTTAAATATCATACGATTCATTAAAATATAAATCGAATGTTACTCATCATATTACTTCAACCAACTTATTATAATTTTTAAGTGTAATATTCAAACCTTTAATATTAATCACTATGGGTTCTATAGTTCAATTACTTGACATAAGTTCAGTTCTTTCGGGATTTGCGTGATAGAATCCCAAATCAAAATAGTAATAAAAAAATTTCAACAAAATTATCATAACTATGATCGACACAAACAAGGATAAACAGGACCAACGCCACACATTTCGTTTTTGAATCAAATTCCCATTTATATATATATAAATGTTACTGCTACTTTCCAGTTGGTCATGAATAGTAGTTTTTCGAATATTCTTAGCAATTAATCGAGAATCAATCCATTTATTGTTCGTCTAAAAATTACAAAGAAAAAGAATTACAAAATAAAAAAATTACCTTGATACTTCATGTCTTCGTAGTAAAAAGTATATAAAAAAAAAAAAAACTATTTAGAGTTATGACTTATTACATTTTACTAACTCTAGTAGTTCAGTGGCTTAAAATAGTCTAATACAGATACTTTAAAAAATTTAGTTCCTACTACCTACTTCAAGTTTTTAAATCCATATTTAATTAGTAAGTAGATAAAAACTAAGATTTATTAAGAAACAAATTTAAGAAGATAACGTACATATCTTTTAATACTTCTCTTTAAAAAAAAAAAGTACAAAATTGCATAATCAAAAATATATAATAATAATATATAGACTACCAGTTTGCACACTAAAAATAGGTGGAAGTATTGTATTTAATACTGTTTCAATATACACATATACATAGCAAGTGCGGAAAAAATATATGAGTAAAATTAATAAGATTGAAAAAATGATATATAGGTAACTATGATACATAAACATACATATTTATTAATTACTTCATGAAAAATCATGAATTCAATAAGTATGACGTAAAATATTAGGAAAATAGGTCAAACAATTTAAAAATTATCATAAAAGTAGCTGTTAATTTTAGTCTACCTAGCACCTGCCCAACAAATTTAGATAACATAACAAATTCTAATAAATCATTTTCCTACGTATCATCTATTCATCAACATAGTTATAGGATCCAACTATAAGTGTGTAGTTCTGCAGGACATATATCGATTTTGCCGACTACCTTTAATAATATCTACATATTTATTCCGCCAGCTACTGTTTATCCCTGCATTGTAAATGTATTACATATAATTCGGAAATGTTCGAAAAGTTACTACATCCAGCCAACGTTTGACCACATTGTTTGCATTAAGATTAAATAGTTATTATTTTTTTCATAAAAATTAAAATTTTTATAATACTTTAAATTGAAATTTAATAATATTTATTGTTAATTATTCATTCATAGAAGGTGCAATTCATTTTTTTATTTTTTGGGTGATTAAAATAGTTTGAGAATCGCTGCAACATATTTTAAATACATAGATATACAATATAGAGGGGGGATAAACAGTGACGGAGGAATCAATAATTCCCCTTTCTGCATGGGTTATAGCTACATTAGGACTTTAGGCCTACACTCACTCCAACTGTAGAGGACAATAGAATTTTACCACCACATCGATAGTTAGAATATGTATCTATGTAAGTATATTAATTATATATATATATATATGAAACTTACTACACAAACTTGATTATCATCTTTATATTTTGTATTATCATTTAATTCAGAGTAGTCATCTGCAATATTAGATTTATCAGGTTGGTTGTTTTGAACATTGATAGTGTTTTTATCTGAATTATAAACTGATTTTGCTTCCTTAAACCATAATAAAAATTTAATTAAATATACCTATTAGAAATAGAAATAATGTACACATCAAAATATAAAATGCATGGAGTGAATTGTCTTTTTTATACGTATCTACAATCACTTTAGAAGTATAGAATCGTAAAGTTTTAATGCTCAGCTGAGCGAGGCAAAAAAATAAATTTCAAAATACTATTTTAGATAACTGAGAAAACGAAACTTATTTTTAAAAAAACAGGATATAGTCGTCCAAAACCATTTTTTATATAAAATCATTATAAATATTTGTTTTTGTAATTCATCGATAAACAAATAACATTAAGACATTTGGTTTTTACAAAATATTTATACTTAAGTCCAGCATTATATTATCTATATATAATATTCATCAAAAAATATTTTAACTCATTTTTAGATAATAAGACAATTTAAAATAGTCTAATGAACTTATCAATCTTTTTTATCTTTATATAAATACATAAATATTTTCCAATTAAAAAAAAATTATTCAAATCAATACTTTTTAAAAAACAAACATTTAAGTAGCAAAATTTGATAAAATAACAATTTTTCCCTTTAAGAGAATGCTACACAGACATTTGTTGTCTCCGCCTTCCAAGTGCATAACAACAAATTTACGTTCAGCAGATTAAATTTAGCTTCGTTAGCTTAAAAATTAGACTAATGAGAGTGAATCGACTTATAATGAAACTTGATAGTAAGAACAATTTCTGTGTTTCTACGTGGGTTTTTACGATAATTCAATGTTTTTGCAAGTTAAGCGAATGTAAAATATAGAAAATTAAAAATGCTCAAAACTCATTTAAAAATTGATTATCACAAAAACCACATACAAATACAGAAAATGATCTTACCATTAAGTTTTATTATACGTTAATTCACTCT